AAGAAAAAAAATGAATTACTTTTAATAATATATGGAAATCTCCGTTCTTTGCCTGAGGACGGTCGCGAGACCGGAACCCCGTTAGCAAAATTATGGAAAATGAAGCATAATATTTTTTTAAAAATCCACATTACAACCAAAAACGTTTGCGATTTCTCTCTTCTTTTTAATATACACACTTATCTCTCGTGGAACTTATAACCTCATCCTTATATATATATATATATATATATATATATATATATATATATATATATATATATATATATATATATATATATATCCGTAAGCGAGAAACTCGGGTTATGACTAGGGATATATTTTCATAGTATTTAATGTTGTTAAGCGTGTTAAGCTTTTAACTACTTTACTTCACTGAGTAGGTAGGTTTGCCTTTAGGTTTTTTTTTTTCTATATCTGGATTAGTATTTTAGGGTTTGTTGTTCGTTGGTTCCATTAACGTTATATTTGTTTTTCTTTTTTATATATATATATATATATATATATATATATATATATATATATATTGGGGAAATCTTTTTTCAGCAAACGGGTTTCTTGCACTTAGGGATTTTACCATGGTAAGGTAAGTGTACAGAATTATTTTGCAAACTGTTATCAGAGCTAAAATGGAGAAATAATATCATTAACTTTTTGAATTGTAAATTTAAGAAAGCTGTAAAATAAGCTTAAAGCCAAAAGGAAATGGAAAGTATGGAAGTGTTGAATTGATATACATTATTTATATTGATTTTACAGATATATTTATATGTGGATTTTTGCACAGGCTTGTATTTGTTTGTCTATCTATCCGTCTAAGTGTTGACTTCTATATTCACTTTTATATTTATATTTACATACGCTCTATCTCTGATATTGATCAATTTATCCCATAAATATAGAACAACTTAAAACTATATATATAAATATATATATATATATATATATATATATATATATATATATATATATATATATATATATATATATATATATGTTGTGTTGGTCTTAATAAAAAACAGTGCTCCGAGTCGTACTTCCGGTAAAGGATAATATTTATATTTACTACTACAAAGACTATTGTTACTACTAATAATATATATATATATATATATATATATATATATATATATATATATATATAAATTATCTGAGACATCAATAAACGCGACTACGAAAGCAATGAACACATACATACACAGGCATATATATATAATGAAAACGTTACACATACACCAAAATTGATATATGCTCATCTATCTTATCGATTTATCTGTTTTTCACCCTCTTTCTTTCTTTCTTTCTTTCTTTCTTTCTTTCTTTCGTTCATTCCTTCTTTCTTTCTATCCATCTCTCTCTCTACCTATCTATCTATTTCAGTATGTTATATGTATCTATCAATCTAATTCAGTATGTCCATTAATTTATCTATCTATCTATCTATCTATCTATCTATCTATCTATCTATCTATCTATCTATCTAATTCGGTATGTTCATTATCTATCTATCTATCTATCTATCTATCTATCTATCTATCTATCTCCGTTTGGTCACATCTCCTTCGTGTACAACCAGTTTCTATGATTTGATGTCGTTCATTGACCTTCAACTATGTATATATAAATGTATGTATCTGTTTATCTACATGTATGTATCTGTATATTCGTGTCGAAACACACAAACATATAGATACCTATACTTCCGTGCTGAAGATATCCGATATATGTAAAAGTTATAATGGATGCCACTTCCTTCACTGTCATGAAACTCAGCCTAAAAGGCTGATGCACCGGCCACGTATTTCTTTTCTTTTTTACATAAACATTTTCTACATATATTTTTCTACAGTAGCTTATGTCGATTTTTGATCATTGCCAAAACCCAAGCCGACTCGGTTCCTTAAAAAAGCAATTTGGCACACACAGTTGCTTTGAATTTGATACCTCATCAACGCATGCATTACTTTAGTAAGTCTTCAACTCAACTTTGTTCAATGTAGTCGCCTCCGTTTCCCAAGGCCATTCTGGTTTGCCAGGTAAAAATGGTGGCGTAGATTGCCACAATAATAGATTTATATTAAGCTTAGTTTAGTCCGGCACAAGGACACTTTATTGGAGCAACTAGTTTGTAGTAATAATCCGTACTTTGCGATTTAGCCAGTCACTATGACTCTACCATCTTATTTTTATATTATTTGGAGAGTGGACGAAATTTTGCAATAGGCACTCCGACCAGAAATAGCCGTTTTTGTTTCTTCAATTTTTTCATACAATTCTTGATAAAGCCTTTCAGAATGCACGCACACACACGCACGCACACACACATACATACGCACGCACGCACACACACGCACGCAGGCACGCACACCCACACACACACACACATATATATACGCGCCGTCACCTCCCTCTGTCTGTTCTGCAAATACTTTCATGGAAATTGCTCCCAGGAGCTGCATTCACTGGTTCCCAGACGTCATGAGTTCCAGCGCCCTACGAGGCTGGCATCCCGCTCTCACCCCTTCACTGTCGAAACTCCTAAATGTAGCCGTCTCTTCTACTCCAATAGCTTCATGTCTCGCACCTCTCGCCTGTGGAACTCCCTTCCCTATTCCTGTTTCCCTGAGAGCAATAATCTTCAGCTATTCAAGTGTAATGTCAATCGACATCTCCAGTTCCCTTGATCTATCCACTACCCTCATCCTTTCTTCTATCACTCTTATCTGATCTTGCTCTAAACTTTCTGTAACCCTTGCGTCCTAGTGGCTTCCTGCCTTGCTTGGTGTGAAATGCTTAAATATATATATATATATATATATATATATATATATAAGATGAATTTTGTAAATGCTAATATGGGGTGTTCAGCTTGCTGTGTAAATTCATTGTAAGTTGTTCCACATGCACGAGCCCCCCACCCCCCAAAATATATGCTCATACTACGTGATTTCTTAAAAAAGTAAAAAACTAAAAAAAAACTGAATTTCGTGATTTGTTTTTTTTTTTTTGTTTTTGTTTTTCTTCCTTATACTTAAATCGATTAAACCCTTCACGTTACGAAGTTATTTTTTTTTTTTTTTTTTTAATTTCAGAAATCACGTAACGTGAGCATATTTGTTTTGGCTTCTCTCGGGGGAATTAATTTACATGGCAAACTGGACTCCCTTATTAAATTTTATAAAATTTCATTTCTTTTTTTTTTTTACTTTTTTTTTTTTTTTTGTCTTTTTACATTTTCATAATCTGTAGAGCTTAATATGAATCAATATGAAAAATAATTGGAAAAAATGGATGTACCAATCTTACAAGTCCGAGATATTTTTATGTCAATGAGATACAAAAAATAATGTTGGAAAATGGAGTAGATAGTTTCCCGGATCTTTTACCGGGAAAAATTCTCCATTAAATGTTTTAATATTCAAACGAGCTTCTTAATCGTATTTGATATACAATGTTTCAGTCGTTGTACACATCAGTCGTCTTTTGTTATCAGTGGTCCTACAGTAACAGAGTCCAGAGTGATACCCTATAGAATGCTGAAGAGAACTTGCTTAATCATTTCATCAAAAGCAAGGCAATAAAGCAAATAAAAGGCAGAAGAAGTTAATGACTGTGAAAGAATATTAAAAAAAAAATTGTTAAGGAGCAAAAACAATAAAAGTACAAGAATTATGAAAATAAAAAGATAGCGATTGACACTGCATTTAATTTTTTGAAGATCAAATTTGTCCGGAAAGCATGAAGACGAAAGAATGTTCCACAAGCAAGAAGTTCGAGAAGAAGAAACTGTCTGCATAGAAGTCAGTTATATCTAACCATTTTAGTTGAGACCTTAGTCTTAAATCTAGTACTTCGCTTAACTTCACAGCGGAAATACATCACAATGATTACGATGAAAGTATTTATGGAAAAAAGGCACAAGAAAGTTACTTTACGGTGGCGGGAAAGTGACTAAAACCGAGATGCCAGAAGGAACCAATCACATTGCAGCGTCTTCTTTGGATTCTATCAAGGGTGTCTAAAAATATAGCAGAAGCACCAAGATATATGTGGCATCAATGTTCTATGGTTTTTATGCAAGATAAATTCGGACGAGACAAATTTTCTAGCATGATATAGGAATCAGTATTCTTACCAGCTGTGATATTGATTCAATATAATCTTTCCACTTCATCTCAGCAGAAAAAAATTTAACCCAAGAAAGTGCAACGAGTCACTCAACTGGAGGTTAGCATTAGCCATGCAGATAGAAGGGAGAGAATTTGAAATTGTCTCTTTCTGATTCTAAGTAAAAATGTTCCGTTTGCTTTCTCTTAAAACATCCCATTTTCTTACATATTGTAAAGTGTGCAAACAAATATATGAATATAGATCCGACAGTATGAAGAAAAATATACTGAAAAAACAAACAAAAATCCTAATATGCGATTATGCTGTTTTAATGTTAAATGTCAACGTCGGACGTTTCGGTCTAATAGACCATCGTCAGGACATATTCATAAATTATAATTAACATAGACCATATACAAGTCAACATGAAAAAGACGATGCATATAAAAGCAATACCAATCCAAACAGATAACTGAAATCTTTTATTTTTATTCATTTTTATTTTTTATTTATTTTTTTTTTGGTATTCGCCCGTAAGCAAATATAACCAACCCGACTGGAATTGGAACTCGGTTCTCCAATTTTCAATTCCGAGCCGTTATTCATTATACCACCAACACATTCAAGCTTACAACACCTGATATTCCCAAGCGGTCACCAATCAAGATACAATCCAGACTCGACGTTGCTTAACGTCTAATTTCGCTTAATAGAAAAACATGTTTGCTGATTTTTCTGAACATAATGAAAAGAGAACAGTCCATCATTTAATAAGTCGTTCGTTTGATAATATTCTTGAGTAATGCTATTGCGAGAAGAGCCGTTTCCTTATAAGGAAACATTCGGCATTCAGTGACCTAATATCCAGCGCTACTGTCGGTTGAGGCTTTCAGCCATATAACGTAGAAATACCGGTTCTCGTACGGTCGCCGAAGTTAAGCAATCTTGAGCCTGGTCATTGCCTAGATGGGGGACCGGTTGGGAATACCAGGTGCTCTAAGCTGAGATTTGAGGGTGGTTTAGAATTGTTAATGAAAGATCCGAATTCCACGTTCATTTGGATTCCTTATGTTCATTTGTGTGGAAATATCCTTGGGGAAGGTATAAATAATCCTCTTCTCTCTGCAACTATGGTTTAATTAGTAAGATTTGTATCACTAAATTCTTAATATGACAAAAATAACATCTGATTTTAAATAACCTGCAAATTATTGATAAGCCGTAGAAATCGGTTGAAACTATTAAAATCTTTAATTTAAGTAATTTTATTAGGAAAATGTTTCTCAAGTTCACTGCTACCCGATTTCTAGATTTTATGGGGGTTTCCTTCCTAACCTTTATTCGAAGTAATGTGGAAAGTCAACATCTTCATTGTGATATTATTTACTCTTTGATGTGTATGGCCTATTTTAGATATCGATGCTGTTGAAAGTCTATCAGTGATATGGTATTTTTGGTTTTTGGTACTGTTATTTTTGGTGGGTTCTGTCCTACCAGTAAGAAAGTAATCTAAGAAGGATAGTCTTTACGCAAACCTTGATGCTTTATACGTTTGAATTCATTTTTAATGATTGATTTGAGGAAGCGATTGTATACAATTGATTGTTTAGACACGCCTCAACATGCTGGATGCCATGCAGCGCTTCCATATGTAAGTTTCGACCTGACAAGGATATTTAAGAACATGATTCAAGTTTTTAGTCTAATGCTTTGGTTTTATAGCAACTTGTGTTGTCAGGGGAAAATAGCCCTAGCGCGACCTATTCTATATGAAATTTCCTTGTCTCCTATACTAACTCTGTTATAATTGATCCATACGCTGAGATATCTGAAGTGTTTAATACTTTCTAATTTTATATCCTCAATTTATATGATCGATATATGGAATGTGCCATCAGTGATTTCGCTTCATTTCCAGAAACAATTTCCGTTTTGGAAATGCTTATCTTGAGTATTCTATGAACACTTGGAAGAGAATGTTGATTTCTGGTTCAAGATCATTCTTCTTGTAATTATGGATACTATGAATTGATCAATGTATAATTGGGAAAGTTACTGTTAAAGTTGGTAAGTGGGGGAAAGACATTACCTGATTTCAATGAGAAAATGAAAGAACGAAGAAGAGATCGTGGAGCAGAAAGCGCACGCGCGCGAGAGAGAGAGAGAGAGAGAGAGAGAGAGAGAGAGAGAATTTGTGTGTCAGATTAAGCTGATGAGAACAGATACTACACTTTGATCACAACCGAATGACCAAGAAAGTAGGTATTTTTTTCCTGTGCCCACATCGATACCCAAGGTGACACAAGGTCATATTAAAGTGGTTTTAACGGCAATACCATGAAAGAATTGCCCCTCGGGACTTCTCCTTTTGGCGACACCTCAGACACCGGACAATAAACCAAGTCTCATCCAGAAGGAGAGGTACTGCGTCGGAGGAAGGAGACCTATGGCTTGAGTTTAATATTATTTGAACCTCTCCGAGAAGCGTTGGCGACCACGATAAACGTTCTATTTTTCAGACGAAATAGATCAAAAGACGGAACATGAGAAAGGTAAAATAAAAAAAAAACCGTCGCCATGAACAAATTGATATCAAGCGCTGAATTATTTTAAAATTATTATTAAGGGAAATCTTCGCAATGTAGGGATTTGGCTAGACATAAATTAAATAAATAAGGGAAGATAAAAGTGTTTAAAGTCTCCTGTCAACACATCATAAATAATGGACCGTTACGTTTCGAATGTTTAGAAATACAAGACACACGGATGAAAGAAAAATGGAAAGATAGAAGCGTCTAAACTTCTCCTGTCAATACCTCATAAATAATGGACTATTACACTTCGATTGTAGAGAAATACAAAAGCACAGGAATGAAAGAAAGAAGGGAAGAAGGGAAGATTGAAGTGTCTAAAATTCTCCTGTCAATAACTCATAAATGATGGACTATTACGAATGTACAGAAGTACAAAAGGCACAAGAATGAAGAAAATAAAGAAAGAAAGAAAGAAGGGAAGATAGAAGTGTTTAAATGTCTCCTGTCAATACCTCATAAATATGAACTACTACGTTTCGATTTTATAGAAATATAAAGGAAATGCTAATGAAAGAAAGAAGAAGGGAATATAGAAGTGTCTAAACATCTCCTGTCAATATCTCATAAATATAGACTATTACGTTTCGATGTTATAGAAATACAAAGGACATACTAATAAATGGTAAAAGGGAAGATAAAATGTCTAAACATCTCCTGTCAATACCTCGTAAATATAGACTATTACGTTTCGATGTTATAGAAATACAAAGAACCTGCTAATGAAAGAAAGAAGAAAGGGAAGATAGAATTGTCTAAACATCCGTCAATACTTCATAAATATAGACTACGTTTCGATTGTACAGACATACAAACGACATACGAATGAAAGAAAGAAAAAGTGATGGTAAGATAAAAGTGTTTAACAGCTGTTGCAGTGAAATGGAAATAGTTGTCATTTTCAAATCTTTTTTATTTGTACCCATTTCTTGAAATAAGTACCAGCATTCATATTTACCATTGTTATTTCAATATTTTGTTAAAGTGGTCAAGTTCAAAGAATTTAACGATGTGATAGGGAAATTTTTACGGATATCGTAGAACTCGCTATTAGCATTATTCAATAATTAACTGAAGAGTTACTATTCATCAGAGAATTCAAATAGGATACTGTCAAATTTTCCTGGGTTTTTCTAGTTTCTCTAGTTATTCCCACAGTGATGCTTATATTTCTTGCAGCATTCACACAAATTTTCGACAGTTTTAAAGCCCTCCAGGCTTTTTTCAGATGTATATAGCTGGTGGGTTGACTTCGGTTAGAGGTATATCAACATTTATGGATTAGTTAATGTCAAAATCTAAATTTTGAATTTTGCTTGGTTGATTTTGTATAACGGCTTATCAACCTCTATGGCTTATTTAATGCCGAAATCTAAATATTTGGATTTTGGTTGGTTGATTTTGTTTAGCGGCAAATCAAGATCTATGGGTTATTTAATGGCAAAATATAAATATTTCAATTTTGGTTGCTTGATTTTGTTTAGTGGCATATCAACATCTCTATGGGTTATTTAATCCCGAAATCTAAATATTTGGATTTTCGTTGGCTGATTTTGTTTAGCGGCATATCAGCCTCTATAGGTTATCTAATACAAAGATCTAAATATTAAGATTTTGATTGGTTGATTTTGTTTAGCGGCATTATGAGTTATTTAATGCCGAAATCTAAATATTTGGATTTTCGTCGGCTGATTTTGTTTAGCGGCATATCAACATCTATGTGTTATTTAATGCCGAAATCTAAATATTTGGATTTTGGTTGATTGATTTTGTTTAGCGACATATCAACATTTATGGGTTATTTAATGCCAAAATCTACATATTTTGAACACAATTTTATGGCTTAAACTAAATATATTTTGAACGCAATTGTATACCTTCAACTACAGATAAAAATATTATTTTCCATTTTGCTATAAATAACTATTATTTTTTGATTCATTTTGTTTAGCGGTATATAAACATATTGAATTACGTACAAAATATTTAGATTTCAGCATATAATGCCGAAATCTAAATATTTTGTAAGTAATTGCATGGTTTCATCTACAGATATTTTGTACATAATTTTATACCTGTTTTATACAGTTTTCAGATCATAAAATATATTATTGGTAATTTTATTATAAAATGTATTTTGATATTGTTTTGGTGCTACATTGATTGTCATTTTGTTATAAAAACTCTATTGTTTCTCATTTTATTATAAATAAATACTGTTTATTTTATTTTATATTTTTTTGCTACCACCCCAGGTCGGAGTAAATCTGGGAATAACAGCAATTAAGAGGTGGTTCCACGCTTCTCAAATCCTCGAATCTCCCGATCTCCTTGCTGCCGGATATAGTTTATCGTCATACTCAGGACTAATGTTTGTCGTAAACCTTCACGGAAATTTCAACAGAAACCTTTATTGCATCTCCAAGTCTATGTTGTTTTCATTATGCCTTCTATCGCTATTTCTATGTTTACTGAATGGGTACCATTGAGAAGGGATTGTTATCTTCAGGAAACATTCCAGAATAATATTTTCAGTGATATTTTAGAAGCACAATGCATTTACAAAAAAAAAAAATATTATCGACGACATTTTTGAGATATGAGAAAACAAGTGTGATTATTATAGCAATGGGTTGAAAATCATAATTGTCCGAAGAAATTATTTGACGATATAAAAGCTCTACCAGCGTACTCACCCATTTATCCAGGGCATATTCGTGAAAGATATTTTAACGAATTTTTGCATGTAACGTGGAAGCAAACTATCATTGTATTACAAAACTTAGAGAAAAATATTGTATATAAAAAGCAAGCAGGAAATTCAGTTGAACATAAAAGAAGAAATTCCTATGGAGTTAATTCTTTTTACTATATAAATAATAATAATAATAATAATAATAATAATAATAATAATAATCCGTACCCATCAGTGGCTACGTAGTGCAGGGTTGAAAGCGGAAACTGAAGGTTTTATCCTTGCTGCGCAGGACCAATGCTTGCTAACCAGGAATTATCAAGCACATATACTAAAATATTGTGTCAGCCCAAAATGCAGATTCTGTGATAAATATCCAAAAACGATTGGTCATCTTGTATCAGGTTGTACGGTGTTGGCACCCACTGAATATAAAACCCGACATGACAGAGTGGGCCAATATCTGCACTGGAAAATCTGCAACTTCTACGGGAAGGAAACTGAAAGAAACTGGTACGAACACCACCCAGACCAGGTTACGGAGATAGGACCTGTTACAATTCTATGGGATTACACAATACACACTGACAGGACAATCAAGGCCAACCGGCCAGATATTGTTATGAAAGACCACAAACAAAAACGGTGCCTCCTTATTGATATGACAGTCCCTGCTGACTGCAATGTATATTTGAAGATATTCAAAAAGTTGTCAAAGTACAAGGACCTTGAAATAGAAATCTCGAAAATGTGACATATGGGAACATCAACAATCCCTGTTGTAGTTGGAGCCCTAGAACTGGTTGGAAAAGATTGCAGTAGACTAATTGAAGGGATTCCTGGAAGTCCATGCCTCAAGGAGATACAAAAAATTGTTCTGACAAGTACAGCCCACACTTTACGAAGGGCTTTATCTATGTAATTTTTTTTTTTTTTTTTGTCAGTGGAAAGTGTCATGACGCCATTTCTAACCTTAGGTCCCTGGGCGGAATCCGGAAAGAAATGTGTAAACGCCAGAAATCAAAGAAAATAAAAAAAATAATAATAATTGGAGCCCTCGGATTTGTTGGAAAGATTCCAGCAGACTAAATGAAGGGATTTCTGGAAGCCCATGCCTTAAAGAAATACAAAAAATTGTTCTCACAATTACAGCCCACACTTTACGAAGGGTTTTATCTATGTAATTTTTTTTTCTTAGTGGAACATGTCATGATGCCATTTCTAACTTTAGGTCTCTGAGCGGGACGCGGAAATAAATGTGTATCTCCAGAATAATAATAATAATAATAATAATAATAATAATAATAATAATATAAGATAGGAGCTGTAACAAGTTTATGGGACTTCACAATACACACAGACAAAACAATCGACGCTAATCGCCCTGACATCGTGATTTGAGACTGCAAAGACAAAATGTGCATCCTTATTGACATGACAGTCACTGCAGACTGCAATGTATTTTTGAAGATCTTCAAAAAACTATCAAAATACAAGGGCTTTGAAATGGAAATCTCAAAAACGTAGCGCATGGGAACATTAACAATTCCAATTGTAGTTGGAGCCCTCGGATTGATGGGAAAAGATTCCAATAGACGCATTGAAGAGATTCCTGGTAGCCCATGCCTCAAAGAAATACAAAATATTGTACTCACAAGTGCAGCCTACACCTGACGAAGGGCTTTATTTATGTAAATGTGTGTGATTTATTTATTTTCAAAACTGCTCAGTGAAAAATGTCATAATGCCATTTCTGACTTTGGGTTTCTGGACGGGACCTGGAAAGAAATGAGTATACCCCCGAAGCCAAGAGAAATATAATAATAATAATAATAATAATAATAATAATAATAATAATAATAATAATAATAATAATAATAATAATAATAATTCCAGTAGACAAATTAATACCAGTAGTCGAATTGAAGGGATTCCTGGAAGTCCATGCCTTAAAGAAATACAAAAAATTGTTCTCGCGAACAGTGGAAAATGTCATGATGCCATTTCTAAATTTAGGTCTCTGGGTGGGACCCGTAAAGAAATGTGTACGCACCAGAATTCAAAGGAATAATAATAATAATAATAATAATAATAATAATTATTATTATTATTATTATTATTGGAATTATTATTATTAGTAGTAGTAGTAGTAGTAGTAGTAGTAATAGTATTAGCATGATCGGATTGGTATGAAGATCCACTGGGAAGTTTGGTTTCATTTTAAAAGAGAAGTGGATATGAATACCAACCAGAGGCAGTGGTAAAAAACGACAGTCACAAGATATTATACGGTATTACTGAGTTCAGACAGATCATGTCAATAAAGCACGGAAACCTGACCTTATAGCTAAGGAGAGTACTAAGTACCAAATTATTGACTTTGCTATTCCATCTGATGCAAGAGTGGATTCCAAAGAAGCCGAAAAGACAGAAAATACGAGGACTTGACTAAGGAGCTGAAGAACATGATGGAGCTGATGGAACGTGACTGTTAAATGGATTCCTGTAGTAATAGATGCACTTGGGACACCACATACAAAACTGAAAAAGTGCTAAGAATTCGAATTGAAACAAGATTGCAGAATTTCTGCCATCTGCGAGGATTCTCCTAAAATTTATTGAGTTATCAGGAACAAGATGCCTCAAGAACAGAATTTCCATTAATAACATCAATATGAGACACCGAAATAATAATAATAATAATAATAATAATAATAATAATAATAATAATAGATGTTGTTTATGTCGTTGTAAATAAATTATACTATTATGGACTCGGGCAAGTTAGAACAGATCATCTGACCTAAAATTATAGATAAAATTATACAGTTGTGAGCAACAGTGAAGGCATTCGCATACAGGACGCAAAATTGCATATAAGCGGGCCGATTATTTCAGCCATTTTTGTACAGATGTAAACTGCGTCTTCTACGCCGTTCAATCCGGTAATTATCAAGTTTATTTTTCGTCCATTCATATTTTCTTTCTGTACTGCTTACTAGCAACTTTTAACATCCCGATTTCTTTACTGCTTTTCTCATGGATTTGTCCCGTTCTCTTTCGTTTATGCATTTTGTTCTTTATATATGTTATAAGTTACATTAATTCTTTCATTTTTGTATTTTATCCATATTCTTTCTGTCTTTTATCATTTATGACCGTTCTTTCTTTAATTCTTTCCTTCTTTCTTTCTAACCCATTATTCCTCCTTTCTTTTTTCCATTATATTCTTTCTCTCTTTCTTTTATCATATTTTTCTTTCTTTCTTTTAAACATCTTTTATTCATTCGTTCTAAATTTTTCTTTAATACATTATATTCTTTTTTTTTCGTTCTTTCGTTCATTCTTTCTTTCGTTCTTTCTTTTTTTTTTATCCGTTATGTTCTTTCTCTTTGTCGTACTTTCTTTGTTTCTTTTTTATTTGTCACTTTCTTTTCTTTGTACTTTCTTTCTATTCTTCGGACATTTTCCTTTTCTTTCGTACTTTTATCTCTTTCTTTCTTTCTTTCTTTCTTTCTTTCTTTCTTTCTTTCTTTCTTTCTTACCGGTATTTGTCCAGCATATTTATTATATTTCTTTCTCTTTTCTTTTGTGAATTTTTCTCATTTAATTTTTTTCTCTTTCTTTCCTCTTTTCCGAAAATTTTCTATCAGGCATCGTCTTTTTTTTCGCTTAGTCATTCTTTCTTTCTATTCGTTTTTTTTTGTCCTTTTTTTCTTCTTATACATATTTTTATTGATTTATTTTCTAAAACTCTATTGAATTCAAAGATATTTTTTCATTATTTTAAAAATATTTTCTGGATTTAAATAAAACTTTTGCAAAATACATTTGGTTCATGTGGTCATTTATTATTGTCCCATTTTCATGGTCGCATCATGTTCAAACACTGATTCCTGTACTTTTACCAAAGTTAAGCCTTATCGTGCCTGGTGAGTGCCCTGATGGGTGACCGTTTAGAAATACCAGGTGCAGTAAACTTGAATGTGCTGATGGTGTAATGGATAACTGCTCGGAATTGTTAATCGATGAGACGTGTTCCAATTTCCATTGGGTTCGTTATATTCACTTGCGCGTACATACCATTGTGAGAGGCATGAATCCACAATTTCTCCCTCTAGTGATGGGACAATTAGCAAGACTTATATATATATATAATCTAAAATATTCTCTGGCTTTTAATAAACAACAAAGGGCTGAAAAGCCGTACAAAGCGAATAAATCAATCAATTATTTTTTTCCTCCTTAACTTTTTAATTCTGTCTTTTTTTTCTTTTTTCCTGTCTTTCTTTCTTTCTTTCTTTCTTTTTCTATTCTTTCTCGTTCTCTTCTTTCTTTCTTTTTTTTTCGTTCTTTCTTTCTTTTGTTTATTTTTTTCGTCCTTCTTTCTCCCCGGTTACAAGTTATCCACAATATTTTAATTTATACGTATTTTGCTTGTTCCTTACTTTTTGTTTTCTTTTAAATAATGCACCATAGTACGTTCATCGATTTGTTTTATTATTATTATTATTATTATTATTATTCGTTTTCAATTTCAAATCAATATCGTGCTGCCTCAGTACTATGATTAATTAGACCCACAGTTTCTTGGCATAAAAAATGCATCTCATTGAAACACAAAAAAAAACAATAAAAATGAACGAACAAAACAATTGTCGAAGAGACTAAAAACATGGAAGCAAATTCGAAAAACAATCTTAATTCGAACATAAAACAGAATAATAGTAATAATAATAATAATGATGTTAATAATAATAATAATAATAAATACAAATAAACGAAGAAGAAATAATGAAATAATTGTAATAAAATTAATAACGCTAGCGATAACAATAAGCCCATATTGATAATGACAAAAACAATAATGCTAATTGCTATCTCTGGTGCAAATCGTATTATTAAAAAGAATCAGAAGAGAAAGAGAAGGCGAAGTAGTAAATTGATTATTCTTGGTGTTTTTTACGGCTGATCAACCTTTTCTGGGTTATTTAAAGACTAAACATATTTCGGATTGTCAGAATAATTCTTGTTTTTGTCAAATAAATATTGCATTTAAGATATACTTTTTTTGCGATGACATTTTTTAAGACACCCATATTTGGAGGGAGTGGAAAGATTTATTCATACCTTTAAGAAGCGTATTTGAGGAGGTATGGTGGCGTAATGGATAATGATCGGACTGAGGAATCGAAAAGCCCTTTGAAATGGTATGAATCCTCTTTTTCTCTCCCCAGCTGTGAGTAAATAGCAGAACAGACCGGATTCTTTGGCCTTGGATGGCAACTGGTATACCCCCGAAAGAAATGCCAACCTACTGCAGGAAAAATCTGACTCGCCTGTCATGTATCGAAAGATAAATGATCGCCTAAGCGTGTATCACGCATGGCACATAACTGACTGACTGATTTGCGCGTAAGGAAATATAACGAACACGACTGGATTTGGAACACCGGTCTCCAATTTCCCATTCCAAGCTGCTATGCATTACAACGCTGTGACGAAGAGGAAGAGAAGGGATATAGAAAACAGAATACAAAAAGAAGGAAGTAATGTCTATACACAGGGAAAAAAACTACACGAGACGGTGTAATGAAGCATTAATTATAACAGAATTTGATGTAGAACTGCTAAGAGGACCGTAGTAGTTAACATAACTAAAAAATAAAAACTGGGAATAAATGAAATATAATGACAAAATAGCCTAAATATGAGATTATCTGATCATGGTTGCGCAGAGGGCATCTGATGTACGACACTGAACCTTAATTAATAGATGTGAAAGATAAACTAGGGTGAACATTAATTACATTAAAACGATTATCTTCTGCTTCTATGTGTCGTATCCATTCAGAACGTAGGGGGTCATGGATCTCCACATCTTCTTATTCCTTGTAGCTATTAGCATTGTTTTTCCATTTACCAACCTTCGCCCTGTTCATCTATCACTTTGGAACTCCGATTTCCGAACAACCACCGAAGTTAAGCAAGGTCGAGCTTGGCTAGTACCTAGATAGGCGACAGCTCGAGAATACCAAGAGTTGAAAGCTTAGACGTGCGGGTTGTTTAATGGAAAATGGCTCAGAATTGTTAATCGGAGAGACCAGTTCCATTTCCCGTTGTATTCGTTATATATAGACAAATACTCTTGGGATAGGTATGAACCGATTTCTTCTCCCCCACCTATGGGTTAATTAGTAATACTAAACAATTATTATCTTTGAAAAAAACGTATTATCTCAATATATGTTCTGTCTTTAAATGATATACAAATGGTTGATAAGCCGTAATAAACAAAACAAATGAATGAATCAGTCAGCCCACCTGATCCATTAGCAATTCATATAAGGTAGGTAGATGGGTAGCTGCATTTCCCCGCCTCATTTTGCCTTCGATATGTTTTGTGAGTGTCAAAAATTCTCCAAGCCCACTTTCCTCATTGTACGACATATCTTTGAAAAGTAACGCGACTGGGTTTGCAGTGTGAGCTAATGTGCGAACGAGAGAGAAGCAAATTCTATTATCATGTAACATGATATTTTGGCAGCATATAACTGCGGTCTTAGATTCGTGGAACCGTTGCATTTTTCTTTTTTTTTTCACATGTTTTTGTGGCAGGAAAAATCGTGGCTGCTTCATCACGGCAATACAAATGATCCCAATGCACCGAGCATCCGTAAGTTCCTGGCCGAGACGAAAGTTGAAATACTGGATCAACCTCTCTACTCACATGATCTTCCTCCGTCTGACTTTTTTTCTTTTCGCCAAACGCAAGTGGATCGTCAAGGTGACCCGTTTTGAAGGCGTGGAATCTATCGAGAGGGCTTTAATGGCGGAGCTGAGCGGTATCCAAGAAAAATCCTTCCAGCATATGTAGGAACGTGGTAGAGAAGTTTGGAAAAGACTCGAGGTAGATTACTTTGAAGGGGAGACCATGAAATTTGTTGTTTGGAATTGAAATAAATTGTTTGTGACACCAGTCCCTTTATTTTTCAGACAGACTTCATACATCCAAGAAATTTCAGCCATCTTGAATCTGATTTATAAGTGTTGCTTTTGCTTTCATTTTCCGTAAAACTTCGTTGCTTATGGCAATGTCAGGTATTGTCATCATTGTTTGATGTATAATGCTTAAAGGATTTTCAGTTTTTGTCTATTGCTTTCATGTCGAAGTATAATTGTGCGACAAGTATTTTAAACAGTTGAAACCCAACCTAAACAAAATCAACTATGGAATCTCTACAAATATCCTTAAATGTCTGTAGTTGGTGACGGAGGCAATTGGTTTGTGCCAACGGCTTTCCATACTTCATACTTCTCCAATTCACTCTCGCGTGGTCATGTGTGACGTCATGAGATGCGGTGCGATTTTCGCTTCTAGCGTCTTGTGGCACCATTTACGAGGCAGAAAAGGAAGGGAAAGAAAAGAAGGCAGAAAGAAAGGCGAGACGAATCGTGGGTGATCAGCAGAACACACACACGGCTAAGAGACAGTGAATATATTGATAAGTAACAAATGGCGAAAGGGTGTCATTACAATGACAGGGAAATTCTGAGTAAAAAGAAAGGGAAAGAAAGAAAGAATCAGATGTGTTTTGATAACGGCTGTGTTATCTAGGGGTACGCAAACAAACGGCTGGTCGACTGGCCAAAGAAAAAATTAAAGTGAAAATGTTATTTCGATAAGTGACGAAAAACAGGGACTTTGAATAGATATGGAAAAATTAATCGCGACACACACGAAGTAACTACACTGACCGATTTTCTTGCCGCAGAACATCTTTATGCCTGCGATAATAAAATTATGTTATCAGAAATATGTACCGAAAGAAAATGAATGGGGACCCAGAAGTGTTTTTTCTTCTTGCTTCGAGGCGACAGACTGACTGAAATTTTGGAGATGTTTCTTTTTTGAGGCCGTGTTAAGAAGACCACCCATTCTGATAATTAGCGATAAAATACCTGACAAATCCCACGTGTAGAACAAGAGTTATATTGTCCCGTTTGCGGCTAGGGAAATGATAACGGCGATTAAGAGGAAGAAAGGGAAAAGAGAAGAGATAATTTTTTTTTAGTTAAGCAAGATATTTTTTTTCTTCCTGAA